GTCCATTCCCATTGGATAACGGAGAATTTTACACCCGAACGTAAGTATTCTCCTTACTGTCGATTGATTTTACAGTGATATCTGAACTACTCATCAACTCAAAAACACCAAATTATCCTTGTTAATTACACAACATTGATTGGTTTAAATTGTGTAGGCCTACAATGCTTTTGTATTTTCCCCCTTCGATTCGGAGAAACGAATATTTTTTCGGAGTTTTTGGATGGCAGAAGACACTACACTACCCAGAATCCTCAGCTATCGTTTGGGACTACACCATGTGCTTAGCTTGACAAACCCCGTGATCAGTCCTCAAGCTCTGTGATTGGATGTTGGAGTGGCAGTGCGCGAAGTTTACACGATTTTATGTATGCACCAACCATGATATCAAGTCAAATTCCTAGTATGTGCGAACCTACCTGGCAATAAACCTGTTTCTGATTTCTGATTCTGACACAAAGGGGTCAGCAGTTCAGATGTGAGACATGGGAAAACTCCGCACACGCTGGGAGCCCTGGGATATCTGTAACACATCCTTGATTATAATCACCACAGTGAAATGGAGGAGAATGTGTCTGAAGATGAAGACCTTGAGGTAAATTCTGATGATGAAGATACTGAATATGAACCATCAGATGAGGAAAGTGCTATTCCTCCAAATGAGGCATTCATGTTAAAAAAAATTGAAATACAGTGGTCCTTATCCCCCAATAAACACCAGGCAGAACTTATAGTCATGAAAGGCAGGCCGCATTCAAGCCCGTTTAAGCAATACCTGCCTTCCAAACCGGCAACATATGATATAAAAATATGGGCAGCATGTGATGCAAATTCCAGCTATGCACTGAACCTGTAGGTTTACACTGGAGAGCCGGTTGGAGGAGACCCAGAGAGGATGGCACAAGGTCTCACGGGTATCAACATAACATTCTGAAGAAAAAGCTCACAATGGTTAGAACTGTCAGAAAGAACCGAACTGAATCCCCGGCTGGATTGCTGGTGATCAAGAACAGGGCCCCTCAATCCTCCAAGTTTGTTTTTACAGACTCCACAGCCCTGTTGTCTTACTGCTCCAAAAAAAGAAAACATTTGTTGCTCATAAGATAAGATAAGATAGTACTCTATTGATCCCAGTTTAGGAAATGTTTGTGTTGCAGCAGCATAAAAAGACATGGCATTGTACAATACAAATTAAAAGACAAGAAATAAACAAGAAAGTAGAAAATATATATGTTGAATTTAGAAATAAAAAATAACAAGATATAAAGCAAGGTATTATATAAGTATGTGACAGATGGAATATTAAATATTAAACTGAATATATAATTGTAAAATGTACAGTGTGATTTTATTCCAAGAGAAACTATGGAGCAGAGAGTTCTCTTCCAGCCAGAGGTGATTTGTTGTACAGTAGGAATGTTTTCCTGTATCTGTCCTTGTGACAGCGGAGCTGCAGCAGTCTAGAAGGAGCTCCGTTGACTGTCCAGCTGCCGGTGGAGAGGATGGGTGGGGTTATCCATGATGGACAACAGCCTGTTCAGTGTCCTCCTCTCCACCACAGCTTCAAAGGGGTCCAGCTTGATGCCGATGACAGACCCAGCTTTCCTGATCAGTTTATTGATCCTACTGGTGTCACCAGCTCTTACGGCCCCTACACACGGCGGCGTGCGTTGCCGCTTCAATGCTTCTGCCCATTCACTTTGAATGGGGTGACGTCACGATTCGCCGAACTGCATTGTGGGAGCAAAGCGTAGCTTCTCTCGCGGTGCTCGCTGCAAAAGTAGAGCAATGTTCTACTTTTGCCGCCTCGACGGAGGCGTCAGCCAATCAAATCCCGCGTATGCAAATATGACAGCACAAGCGCTAGCCAATCAAACCACGTGTATGTTGGGAGAGCCAGACCGCAGTTATTTCCCATATGTCAAAAAATGGAAGAGAAAATTATCGTGGCGGTACTATATGACCAGTCCCTCTTTACATACAGGGATACAAACCGGAGGAGCCAGGCATGGGGGGAGGTGGCAGAGACAGTGGGTGAAACTGGTAGGTTTTCGCCTGTTTGGGGAGTTTATAGCCAGTGTACTTCGTTTGAATGGACAGCTAGCAAGCATAGACAGTATATTTAGCCAGCATGGATGTAGCATGAATGCTTTGCTTTGTATGTCCGGGGCGGGACATTCATGTGATTGGTTGTTGGTCGCGTTGTTCGTAAAAAATCCCCAAGCTTCAGACACGCCCACCGCCAAGCGGTAACGCACGCCGCCGTGTGTAGGGGCCGTTATGCTGCCCCCCCCAGCAGACCGCAGCGAAGAAGAGTGCACTAGCCACAACAGACTGGTAGAAGATCTCCAGCATCTGACTGCACACGTTGAAGGATCTCAGCTTCCTCAGGAAATAGAGTCGGCTCATCCCCTTCTTGTACACAGCGTCAATGTTGATCCTCCAGTTCAGCCCATTGTCTAAGTGCACTCCCAGGTACTTGTAGTCCTCCACAACAGCCACATCCTCCCCTAGAATGCACAGCGGCTGTGGAGACGTCTTCTTAGTAACAGTGATGGCGGACACTGCACCACGAAGCTCGGTTGCTCCTGTCTTTAGCCGGACTCTCAGCCGGTCTCGGGTAAAACCTGAGATCTACACTACGGTTGACGGTAAAGTTATTGTGGAGGATGAGCTTCTTAACTTCCTTGCTGTAAAAATTAAGACATTAAGCCAGGATGAGATCGTCCTATTGGCTGCAAACACGTTTGATTCTGAGTGGATATAATCCTCGAAGAAAGTATTGTTTGATCTTTGCCCAACTACACAGCGGAACGTTTCCCATAAAGGGGAAAAGAAAGACATCAACAATATAAAAAGTTGCCTTAAAGTAATGAACGAGTGTGGAGAAAACACTCCCAGATTTGTTTCTTATTACTTGGATGAACTGCCGCCGGTGACATTTACTAACATGGATGTCTCAAGCCCACTTGGGAGAATGGAGCAGCTGTGCTCTGAGGTCTGCTCTATGAAGCACGCAATATAGCTACAGGCTGATGTAAGCGAAGATCTTCGTGCTATCACAGTGGAGATCGATCGCCGCGTGTGTGCACAAGAGCGCTCCACTGACCTGACACGGGGCCTTGATGGCTCAGATGCGGCGGCGGTGGACGGGGCCCGCCTGGACGGCACAGCACTGGGGGCAGCACAGGCAGGAACCTCAAACTTGGGCTTCGGAGTGAGGGCTGCGGTGGGGGCCTCTGCTCTGAACGTGGAGAGGGCTACAACAATGGATAGTCCCAGTGGATCAACGTGTTTG